AAGTGCAATAAGTCAATCGCAGAAGGACAAATACTGCATGAGCCCATTACTGTAAAAAGTCAAGGAAGGATTTGCTTACGGAAGGGAAATCACTTTGTAGGTTACTGGGGATGGGAGGGAAGGGGAGAGGAAAATTTCAGACTAGCTGGGGGCCACATGCTGAGTTGGGTAAGGGGAGGGCTGGTATGGAAGGAGTCTGTGACCAGCATGGTAACATTGGGGAAAGGGAGGACACCAAATTGTTCACATAAGATATAGACAACAGAGGCCAATACTAGTATTTCCACAATACTGCTTTACCACTAACACCAAACACCAGGCTACAGATAAATACATAGACAACTGAGAAGATCAGATGGGGGTCAGTAAACAGGAATATACTCTAGACAAATGATAGATTCAGCTGAGGATAATCCTGCAGAGATACTGGTTATTGTTGTTGTTCTTGTTGTTGTTGTTATGTGCCGTCAAGTCGGACCCGACTCATAGCAACCCCTCCTTGGGTTTCCGAGGAAGTATCACTACGGGTAGATTGCCCCATCTTCCTTCTGAGGAGTGGCTGGTGGATACTAGTGATACAAAATAACCACAACTGTTACAGAAGCGACAGAGGACAGACATGGAACAATCCGTTATAGACAGCCAGACACCATGGCAGGGAGAACCACCAGATCTTAGGTACTGGGGGACATCAGGCTCAACTGGCACAACATGATACATAAACTCTTGTTCTTCAACCTACTTTGGTGAATAGCAACTGGGGTCTTAAAAGCTTTCGAATGGCCATCTAAGATGCAGCTAATGGTCTCCTTTGGCTGGAAGTGAGTAAGAGTAAAGAAAACTCAGCCCTAGGATATGAGGGACCTCAAGACCAAAAGAAATAGATGGTGCCTGGCCACCAATGCCAACCACTCAGGAAGGGATCAAAACTGGAGATCCTGGGTAGGGTGGGAGGAAAAATGTTGAACAAAATTCAAAAACACAGTAAAGACCAGAATTACTGGTCAGATGGAGTCTGGTGGGACCCCAAGACTATGGCCCTGGGATAAACTTCAGGCCTGGGATAAAACTTGCTCCCAAGGGCTGGCTCTCAGCCCAACAGTAATAAGACTCACATGCAGAACACCCAACCCACGGCAATGCACCCACCTACTCTACAGAGATACATCCCTTGGAGCGATCAGCCATGGGGCACCAGAGGGGTAACATTCACACAGAGGAAAAGCTGGACAGATAGGAGTACATAACACAGGGACCGGGGGTGGGGGAGGTTACTGCAAAGGGAGAGGAAGAGAGTGGGTTAGGGTTGGGGATGGTAATTGGGGAGTGAAACCAAATGTACACAAACTGTTGAACGTAAAACAAATTCTGTTCTGTAAATTTATACCCAAAGCACAATTAAAAAAAAATTATTTTGTCAAACATCAATGCACCAAAGTAACAAAATGGGAAGGGAATTGGAAGAAATCAAGGCTACATAAGATAAACTAGGTCATTTAGGCTGGCTTTGGTTGCCAAGCAACTGGGATTTCTCACTATTTCCCTTTGGAATAATCCAATCTTCAAGAATTTTATTATTATTATTTGCCTTCAAGACTTATACTAACATCCTCAGGAATTACACTAATGAGAAAACTGCAGGACTTATGGGAAACGCTACTGAAATGCACAAAGGAAAACAAATATATTTTCTTTCTCAAAAGGATCTGAGAGCCATGTAAATGTGTTAATTATCCCTAAATTAATCTGTAAAATCAACCCAATCCAAATTGAGAGACGGAAATTACCAAATAAGTCTTAAATATAAATGTATCTATCTCTAGAGAAATGAATAAGAAATATTAACTAGTGAACTTCTGAAAAGAGTAACACAAGGTCCTTATCCTATGCTATATTACCCTATAGGGCACACTGACTCAGGAATGGAATGGAATCCAGAGGCTACCCCACATTAGATGTGGATCACACACCATATGAGCAGCATATACATGAGGGTAGATCAGAGGACATGCAAGCAGAACGTATACACGTACTCCGTAAGTAGGTACTCCGTAAGCAGGGATGGCGCCTTGTACGCAAAACTAGAATATGACGAAGGATGAGTTTTACATCACTGCACAACAAATGGGTTGTATTCAATAAATGGCACAGAAGAAACTGGTTACTTGGCGTTTTTATTTAAAGAAAAACAGCAGTCCTATTCTCACTCTACCTATCAAAAAAATTCTTAATAGAACAAAGATTTAAACAACAAAATTAAAACAATGAAAACAAAAAAAGTATGAAAAGAAAACAAGAGAGAAGGAGGAAGGGAAACAAGAAAGACAGGGAGGAAGTAGCAGGAGTGATGTCACACTGAGGGGACTATAGTCAATGAAATGAAACAAAATGTGTATGAATTAAATTACTGAATGGAAAACTTATTTTCTCCACAAACTTTCACTCAAATCACAATTCAAATTTTTAAAAAAGGAAAGAAAGCATAGGTAGTTGTTTGTTTTAATCTTGGTATGGTACACCTCTCAGAGGATGGCACCAAAGTTGAAAACATGATACCATGTTAAGAGATTTGACTATATTTTTAAAATGTTTTTTAAAACTGCCCTCACAAAGGTCACCACAAACAAGAGTGATACAAAACAACAGCAATAGCAAAAAATATATGTGGACAAAGATAGTTCCTCAATATAGTTTTAAAAAAATATGGACAAAACACCTACCAGAAATTGTTTAACTTTATAAATGATGAAATAACTGTAAACATTCGGGTAACTTCTCACCCATCATATTAACAAAGGTAGGTAGGAAAACTGCCTGCTCAAGTAGATCCGTGGTAGCCTAAGTTGACACACCATCTTCCCAGAAAACAATCATGCAGCACATATCAAAGCGTAACATATGCACACACTTTGTGCCAGCAACTTCACTGCCAGAAATGCACACAGCAACTTCACTGCCAGAAATGTCATCTAATAAGATAATGTAGTAAGTGTGCTAAGATATAAAGATATTATTGCAGTTGTTGTTGTTGTTGTTGTTATGTGCTGTGGAGTTGGACCCAACTCATAGCGACCCCTCCTTGGGTTTCCGAGGTGGTATCACTACGGAAGTAGATTGCCCAAACATCCTTCCGAGGAGTGGCTGGTGGGTTTGAACTGCCAGCCTTCTGGTTACCAGTCAAGTAAGTGCCTTAGGCCCTATACTACCAGAGCTCCTATTATTGCAGTACTATATGTAAAATCATAAAACTGGAAAGACTCTCAATGTCTACCAATAGGAAATTAGATAAATTATGCCTCTCCTACATAAGGGAATATTTTAAGTCATTAAAAAATTATGAAGAAACTGTATTTGTTGTCATGAAACAACGTTCATATTATAGACAAAAACGGTTTTAAAACATCAAGAATCCATTTGTGTAATATTAAATACACTGACAATAATACCCCTGAATAGAGAAGGTATATACACTAGTTATTTGTTATCTTGAATTAAATTTTTTCCCCCTTTTACTTTTCTGAATTGTTTGCATGTTTTACCATGGGCATGTATTCTATTTAAAATTTATAAGGTAATTTCTAATTTAAAAAAAGTCATTTTCAAAAAGTCTACAAAAACATCTAATGTATTTACTTTAAGCGTATACTGTTTACTGTCTGCCTTTAATATCTCTCAGAACAAGTTAAGGATTAAAGCAGGAAATGATGCTGTTTTAAACAATATGGAAAATTGTAATTTTAACTCAGTAGCTTGCATTATAATGCCTTTCGATACAATATCAAAGAGCTAAAGGAGTTCTTAGCTTAGAGCAATAGTATAGGGGTCAAACATGCTCTTAACATAATAAAAACCGCTTTCTTAAAATGTATTTGCTTTGTGGGTTAACTTTCTGTACTCTTAAGTAACTTTAAATTCATGTTTTAATGAATAAAATGAACTTCAAGAGACAACACAAGATTCAACAGAAGTACATCAAAACAAAAACCAGAGAATGAGGTTAGAAATGCTGACATTCTATACTCCACATTCATCTTGAAGAGCCAAAATCAACTAATGAATTCTATCCCCCAAAATATGTGTCAAATTGGCTAGGCTATGATTCTCAGTATTATGTAATTATCCTTCACTGTGTGAGCTCCTGTAATGATCCCAAGTGGCCTAAATATATTAATGAAGTAGGATTAGAGGCAGCTGTGTTAATGAGGCAGGCTACAATCAATAGGATTAAGTTGTATCTTGACTCAGTCTCTTTTGAGATATAAAAGAGATTAAATAAGGGAGCAGCGATCAGAAGGATCTGTCTAGTACTAAGAAAGAAGAGTCAGGAGCAGAGCATGTCCTTTGGACCCAGTATACCTGCGCTAAGAACTCCTAGACTCAGGGGAAGATTGATGCCAAGACACCTGGAGATCTCCAAGGAATTATGGGTCCACAGATGTTGAAACAAGACAAAGACCTATACCCCTAGAGCCAACAAAGAAAAAACCTTTCCCTAGAGCTGGCAACTGCATTTGGACTTCTAACCTTATGAACTGTGAGAGAATAAAGTTCTGTTTGTTAAAGCCATCCACCTGTGGTATTTCTGTTAGAGCAACAGTAGGTAACTAAGACGGTATCTCAAGTTCAGCTCCATCACAATATAAGCATGCCACTTAACTTTCAGTACTTTCATTACATATTCTGTAAAAAGAAGTGACTGAAATAAATGACTTCTAAAATTTCTCCTAAATCTGAGATTTTATGATTTTAAAAGAAGAAAGACTCAAGGGGAAAAAAAAAAGAGGACCAGTCATTTAAAACACCGTAATTCAATTATGTTTCTAAATGCCACTGTTATTCCTAAACCTTGGGAGAAGAATTCACATACACAATCTTTTCTAATAAAGTATCTTAAGATGAAGAAAATAACATGATATTATTCCCTCTGAAAAGCATAGAAAGTTAAAATTTAAGTTATGTGTTCTTTTATAGCTATTTTTAAAAATGCCTTTAATACTTACAGCTTGATTAGGTAGATTGTCAGTCTTAAGTTCTCTGTGATTGGAATACTGAATATAAACAGGCTGGCTTCGGAGATGAGGAGTAACAGGAGTGTAATAATTCACCATGGTAACAGCAGCTTCCTCAGAAGCCATTTCTAAGAAAGCCTGCAGTAAACACAAGAAGATAATGTGAAAGCTCATCTCTTAGAAAGATGGTTAAGAACTACTTTGTCATTCCAGCTTGCTCCAACTCATACATTCTCAACAGAAATGATATGGTACCCAAGTAGGTGAAAACACTTTTGCTTCAAAGTATATCATCAATGTTAATTGGAAACGTATTTGAAAAGCCAGGTACAATAAAAGATGTGGGTTAGGAAATTGCAAGTTGATTAATTGCTTTTATGTGTGTCTTGGTTTTTCTCTTTTTCTGTTTCTTCAAATCTAGAAATAATTAAAAAGGCAAAACTGAATCTATGGATCACCCTTCAAATGGCTGCTTTCAGAGGCTGGGGCTGAACAGTTCTCTTCTGAAAAGCCCCAGACAGACCACCTAAAGGGCACTCCACTTTATTTTAAAAACCGTCACATGTCAGAACCACAAGGGGCTTTAAAGATATTAACCAGCCCTTCATTTTTTAGATGAGAAAACTAAGACACACAAGTGTTAATGGCCACGGTCTATTTTTAACCAGGTTTCTGAACATTAAAGCACTAGCCTTTCCACCATAGTATAATGATTCTCCTCCTTCCAAAGTGTTGGGGTTTGATTGGCAAAGTATGGGCTCATAAAACTTGTACTGGGAAAGAAAAAAAATGTGAACTGCTCTATTTAATGATACACATAAGCAACGGACCACAAGCCTAAATTTTCACCAGAAAAGAGTGTTATTTGGAGAACTTCACTTTTTTGCTTTAAATAATCCATACATTTTTCTTCTCAATAATGTGAAATATTTGTAATTTCTAAAATATTTCTTAACATAAAAATTCTGTTCTTGAGCATTCCTTAAAGAGGCATTTGTACTGCAGACGACAATGGTGGGGAATCCCGCCTGCAGCACCGGCAAACAGTATGGTCTTCTGCTACCGCCAGTTCTCCCACCCTATACTCTAGCTCTGCAGCACCGGCAAACAGTACTGTCCTACGCTACCAACAGGTCTCCCATCCTATACCCTAGCTCTGCAGCACCGGCCAACAGTACTGTCTTCTGCTACCGACAGTTCTCCCATCCTATACTCTAGCTCTACCTCCTCAAACTCTGTCAACGCAATTTTCTTGTGGGGACCTCCTTAACATACTGCCCACCCCACCTCTAATTAAAGACTCATATGGCTTAAGCCAGCTTCCCTAGGGTTTAGTTTCATTTTCAAACTTTATGCAAATGTCGAGGCTCTTTCCTTAAAATAAAATAACCAACCAAATACGCATATATATACCAATTTTACATATAATTTGGAAGTATTAGTAAAATAAAACAGCTTCTCATACTCCAAACATAGAATACTTTTTAAAAATGAAAGTGCAAAGGCTCACTTGTTCACATTATGGAAACAGGAGAACTTCCTAAGTTAACTCAGTGCTGATTTGAGTCACTTGTGATTTTTGTGGATATGTCATCACTGTACTAATATCAGATACCCAAAGGCTAACACAGGAAGAGCTGAGATGACAGAAGTTCCCTGGTATTCATGTCTTATTTAGTATATGGCTTCTTTTACTGTTAGGACTCCTATCACTTCTGTGACAGGAATAAGACATTTATGGAGATTTCAGGCTGCCCTGCCTGCCCCCCTTAATGGTTAGACAGTTAACACACAGACATACTAACCATTCTGAGTTTTCAAAACTACCTGCAAGAACATCTCGAGTTTAAAACGCAGAAGCTTAAAAAATAAAAATTAAAAAAAAAAAAACCACACAGGCCCTGAGCTTCTATTAGGAATGATGGAAAAATCTGGAAATGGACAGTGGTAATGGGCACAACATGATGAAGGTAGTTAATGTCACCGAACTACAATGTAAAAAAAGACTGAAATGACAAATGTTTTGTTATATTATACTTAGCATAAAAAATAGAGCTTTAATTAACAAGCATATAGCAACCACTTCAAATTATGTTTAAAACATTTATAGTTTACAGAATATATATTTATTAACAATAAAAGTTACTTAACACAGAAAATGGCAACTATCTCTAAAACAAACTTTTTTTTTTTTTTGGCTTGCTTACTTATAGTGCCTGGGTGGCACAAATGGTTAAGCACTGGACTACTAACCAAAAGGCTGGCGGTTCAAACACACCCAGAGGAAATACGGAAGTAAGACTTATCCTCTGCAGGTCATAGCCTTGAAAGCTCTATGGAACAGTCCTATCTGGCATGCAAGTGGTCACCCTAAGTTAGAATCGACTTGACAGCAGCCAACAACAATACCTTATCTGTCAAATGTCTGTTGTCATGGGAAGTCAAGGAAAGGAATACAACTTGCCAAAGGTTAAACACGACGCTTACTTAGCTTCATCAATCAAATATCACAATTAAACCAATTAAATGCTTCAATTGAACTAACAATATTCTGTGAAGTAGTGATGTGCGCCAAACAGCAAATCAAATATCACTAATAAATGAACAACAAAAATCCACAAATTCCATAAATAAATACATAGATTTCCATTATCTTAAAGAGAGAAACTTCAAGTTCAAATGTGCACGTAATGTATTTCAAAGCCAATATCCAATTGTAACAATAACATATTTTTTCTACTTATTTCTAATACACAAAGACAGAAATGATCAAAGTAAAAACCACCATAACAAAAAACCAGCTATGACAATATTTTCTAAATATCTGGATTTTAAACTTTTCAACAAAGAATTTGTAAACATCAATAATAGTCACTGAATGACAAGAAAGTCTCTCTCTCTTTGTTCAATGTTCAGAAATGACTTGATTTCTATCATTTATCACACAAAGGGAAAGCTAAACGTCTTTGGAATGCATGATTCTTGTCATAGGGACTTTTATCTGAAAATATAAAACTAAATGTTCATATTAGTTAAATTTTTCCACATGATGTCTGGTAAAGGAACTTTGCCAAAGTGCTGTTAAGTGCTGAAAATGAAGTACTGGCTGAGGTATCTCCTAGCTCTACCCTGTGAGAGGACACATTCTCATATTGTGGGTACAGAGGCAACCAAAAGTCACTATCCACATGAAGGTTGGTGAAAATAACTCGTACTCAGCCCTGAACACTCTATCTTCCAGCAGCCTGGAAATGCCAACAAGTGGTTCCAGTGAAGTCTGTAGTTTCTTCACATCAGAATCTCCTACTGGAATATGTTTCTAAAGAGCTGTTATCTGAATTCTCTTTATGATCAAAAGACAAACAATGAACAATTCCACTCAAATAGCAACCCAGAACCAAGAGCAGACCCTCAGGAAACTGTGATATTACCTGCTGTCTCTTACTGGCAATTAGCTTTAGCCACAGATGGCCCTGTTGGTTCCTTCAAGCCAAGCCAAGCAAACCACATACTACTGCAATAAAGGCAAGAGTGTTACTACAAAGGTCTAAGGAGGCCCTGGCGGTGCAAACGGTTTAATGCTGTGTTGCTAACTGAAAGGCTGGCGGTTCGAACCCACCCAGTGGCTCTGCAGGAGAAAGACCTGGTGATCCGCTTCTGTAAGATTACAGCCAAGAAAACTCTGTAGGGCAGTTCTATTGTCACATGGAGTCATTATGAGTAGAAATCAACTCAATGGCACCTAACAACACATGCCATGTATGCACTCCAAACAAAACCAAACTCGCTGCTATCGAGTCAGATCCCACTCACAGCAACCCCTCCTTGGGTTTCTGTGGTGGTATCACTACAGAAGTAGATCGCCCAACCGTCCTTCTGAGGAGTGGCTGGTGGGTCTGAACCACCAGTCTTCTGGTTAGCAGTCACTATCTCCAGTCAAAAACCAAACCCACTGCCACTGAGTCAATTATGACTCATAGTGACTCCCACTGGGTTTCCAAGGCTATAAATCTTCACAGAAGCAGATTGCCTCACCTTCCTCTTATGGAGCAGCTGGTGGGTTTGAACCACCGGCCTTGTGATTAGCAGTCAAATGCTGAACCCACGATGCCACGAGAGCTCGTGCACTATCTCCAGCAGATATAAAATAAATATGTAAGATACAACAAGGCTATTTAACTTTCCTGGGTCTCAGAAACATCATCTGAATGAAACAGAATATTAATCAAGTAGCTTACCAAACACAGGAAACTGAATGAAACATTATCAACCAACCTCTTTCATGTACATTTATCAATCTATTTATCTATAAATATATTTATAATGTACTTCTTAAACATTATTTAAACAAAATAGAAGAAACAAAGTGATATACTACAAACCTATTGCCTAGCTGCTATTGAGTCGATTCTAACTCACAGTGACCATATAAGACAAAGCATAACTGCCTCATTGGTTTCCAAGGCTATAAATTTTTATGGATGCAGACTGCCATATCTTTCTCCCGCAGAGCAACTGGTGGATTCAAACTGCCACTCTTTCAGTTGGCAGTTGAGTGGTTAACCACTGTGCCCTTAGAACTCCTTCTCATATATATATATCACAATATACCATAAAATGTCTAAGGCTCAGATTTGTTGCCCTATTCTTTTGAGCAATGTTCTATATAAAAGATTTTCAGGACAACCCAAAACTAGGAGGGTAAAATAAAAGAAAGAAATTATTCTAGCATGATCTGAATCACAGCATGAATGTGTATGCATGATTATTTAATACCAACAGGACAAATATTGCATTTCTGTTATGATCAAGAAAGCATTTCCTATCTTATTCATCTTAAGAAAAATCCATTAGGAGTCCCTTGGTGCAAACAGTTAAGCACTCGGCTACTAACTGAAAGGCTGGTGGTTCAAACCCATCCAGAGGTGCCTTAGAAGAACCACCTGGCTATCTGCTCTGAAAGATCACAGCCATAAAAACTCTGTGAAGCTCTGTTACCATTCTACTCTGAAGCACTTGGGATCATCATAATTCTGAGTCAACTTGATAGCAACTAGTGATTAGTTGGTTATATGTTAATTCTACAACTGAAATGCACTACACATTTTTTTCTAGATTTTAGAAAACTTATCTGTTTTTTAATTTGCCAAATGAGGTATAATTTATTTCCACTTTCTCTATTAGGGTCTTTTAGATGTAAAGGGTATTTTCATAACTCATCCTGTAATCAAGAGTATAAAATGTTTCCCATGAAGGAGGAGAAAGACTACACAAGTCAATAGATAAGAGAGAATCTTGTTCCCTACCCCCACCCCAATATTTTGTTTATGGCTTCCTGTCTCTTTTTTTTTTAATTCTACTTTATGTTCATAGAATGAAATCTGGAAAAACAGAAAAGTTCAGGAAAATAAAAATCAACTGTAACACTAACATCCAGAGATAATCACTCTGTGTCAATCTTTAAATATTACATACCTGGCTTTTTCCTTTCAACATCAAAAGATTAGTTACTTTGCCAAATGGTAGACCTAATGATATGACCTCTGCTTCAGTGACATCATTTGGAATTTTGCGAAGATGGAGAACACGGGAAGGTGAACACGGAGGTCTATCTCCTTTAAATTTTTTGTTGTCATTCCCATTAGCTAAAAAACAAGATTTAAAAAAAATTATTGAACCTAATTTGGGTTGACATGCTACATTCATCATATTGTCACATTTGATCCTCTAAGAGTCTTGGGTTTTGAAATTCAGGGAACTGTGGGTCTTGAAGTGAGGGGTAGAAAACAAAAGCAACGAGCTGCCAATGAATAGGTGGTTTTTGGTCTTTCACTGCAGTAGTAAATTTTTAAAAGTGAAGTGTGGTTTTTAACCTCAAGGAAAAATACTGGGGTAAATGAATTATATTATTTCAAATATCTCTAAATTTTAAACATTTCATTATGAATAGAGAATAGCATTTATAATGTCTTCAATGTATTTTTGAGGATATTTTTTTAGTTTTTTTATTGATAAATAAATGTACATAATTAGAATACGTTTTAGAAAAGACTGTGATAGAAATTTTCTGTTTTTCATATTCCAAGGGATTTGTATGTGAGCTATATACTTATGAAAATAAAGTTTATTTCCTTGGAATTATATTCATTATTAACCTATTTTATGAGTATTTTTAGAAACTAAACTGGATAATCTTATTCCTAACTATGTAACAGTAGCTCTCGGTATAAGCAACTGGACCAATAAGCAGCATCATGATAAATGCAGAAAAGACTGAAGTTGTCAAAGATTTCATATTGCTTGGTTCCACAACCAACACCAATGGAAGCAGCAGCCAAGACATCAGAGGACATAGTGCATTGGGCAAATATGCTGCAAAAGACCTCTTTAAAGTGTTGAAGAGTGAAGATATCTCTTTGAAGACTAACGTGCATCTAACCCAAGCCAAGGTATTTTCAATCGCCCCAAACACATGTGAGAGTTGGACAATGAATGAGGAAGACTGAAGAGCTGATGCTTTTGAGTTGTGGTGTTGGCAAGAATACGGAAAGAACCATGGATTGCCAAAAGAACTAACAAATCTGTCCTGGAAAAGGTACAGCCAGAATGCTCCTTGGAAGCAAGAATGGCCAGACTTTGTCTGATCTCCTTTTGTTGTGCTGTTAGAAGCAACCATTCCCTGGAGAAGGATGTCATGCTTGGTAAAGTGGAGGATCAATGAAAAAGGGGAAGGCCCTCAATAAGATGGGCTGACACAGTGGCTACAACGATGGGCTCAGGTATAGCAAGGACTGTGAGGCTGGTACAGGACTGGGCAGTGTTTCGTTCTGTTGTCCACAGGGTCACTCTGAGTCAGAGCCAACTATAAAGCCCCTAACAACAAAAGCAGCACACAGCTAAATTTTATTAAAATCCTATTGTTCTAATACTTATAATAACTAGTTGACAGGCATGAAATGAATACTCAAGTTTATGCAGATATATAAAAATTCAGAAATATTTTTCTTCTCAAAAACAGCAACATATAAGACTGAATACATTCTTGGGTTTCCTTTCAGGCTTGGCAATTTGCTATTATACGGTCCATACTGTGAACACTGGGAGCTCTGGTAGCATAGTGGCTAAGACACTTGCCTGCTAACCAGACAGCTGGCGGTTCAAACCCACCAGCCACTCCTCGGAAGGAAGGTTGGGCAATCCTACTTCCGTAGTGATACTGCCTCGGAAACCCAAGGAGGGGTCGCTATGAGTTGGGTTTGACTCGACGGCACATAACAATAACAACAACAACTGTGAACACTAGTGTATGTTTTATTTCTTTGAAGTGACAGACTTTTTTCTGGAAATGAGTTAAATTACGTGCAGATTAGCATCATTCTTTGGTGGTTTGTTTTAACCTTTGCCAGGGTGGGTTTGTTGTTGTTGTTATATGCCATCGAGTTGGACCTGACTCATAGGGATCCCTCCTTCGGTTGCCGAGGCAGTACTATTACGGAAGTAGATCGCCCCATCTTCCTTCTGAAGAGTGGCTGATGGCTTTGAACCGCCAGCTTTCTGATTAGCAGTCAACTGCCTTAGGCACTATGCTACCAGAGCTCCAAGGGTGGGTTCAGTATAGCATTTATGCTACAGTGAGTTTAGCCCTACTGGTGAGGTCTGGCTCCTAAGAGTTCTCTAATGACCGTGCCTCAGGTGTGCAAAGGCTCTATTCTGATTGGCTATAATTTAAACATCTTCTAGCCCTGTGTGAATCCTGGAAACCACTCAGTTTATATTTCCCTGTTTGTTCTTTGTCCAACCTCATAGAGATTCACCCTAATACGCTGGCTTCATTATTTAGCAGCAGATTGAAAGGGACCATAAAGCAGATTTCTGGAGCTATTTTCTTATAAAGCCCCCCCCCCCTTTATCACTCTGTCCCCACATTCTGATCTCTGTCTCTTCCCTTCAGCAATTCTGCCATATTAGCATGGGTTCTTCATCTTTATACCCCAATTTGGAAAGGAAGCTGGGGTGATTACAGGGCTCACACCTCATTTGTTTGCCTTTTCTCTGAGAAAAGAGTTTAGCTCTTCCTGTTGCCACCATCCAAAAACACAACTGCCTTACATTTTCTGCCTTACATACTGTGGGAAGCTAAGTGTGGTCCTAGTTACCCCATCATTGGAAGCAGAAGTTTAGATAGTGTTTAAAATTGCATAATTTAAATTACAAAATTTACATGGCTGAGCATTAATACATCATATAAAGTCTCTTTAAATGTATTTCTTCTCAGAGCTAATTTAAGGTGTAGTTTATTTAACCAGTTTTGAAGTTATTTATCAAGAGAATAGTGTTTACATTTCTCCATAAGGGTTTATTCGAAGCCATTTCAATGCACTCCTTGCATCAGATGCCTGGTGCTCAAATGTACTTGCTTTAGCCGCTGATGCTTGTGTGCAGCTGCTCGGCTAGATCAGTGTGCACTGTACAATCACAGCCAGCACCCAGGATCTGTGGCAGAGCCTGAAGATTTTGCTCCAATATCTTTTCTTCCTGTATCCACCAATTTTTGGCTGAGCACATAGCTGCCCAGAAAAAAAGACTACATTCTCAGCCACCGTAGCAGCTAGGAGCGGCTGTGTGACTAAGTACAAGTGAAAATGGTGTGGTAGGCTTTTTTCCTGAAGCATCTGTACAGTAAGGAGGCTATGCTCTATTCGCTTCCCCTGCTGTTGCCTGGAGCTCCGGCAACCATGCAGGACTATTTGCTATACCTGGAAATAGGCATCATGTGCCAGGCAGAACCAACTACTTCCGCACTTGGTGAAAATGACAGAAATAAACTTTATCCTGATAATTTACAACCAAACTGAATCCTAATTAGCAATTTTCTATCAAAAAAAAAAAAAAAGAGGAATTAAAGTTTAATTTAGTAGGAGATTTCAGAAAGACATTTTTATAAAACTAGGTATTTGCAAAGCAAAAGAGCATTTTAGTAGCTTTTAAGTATTTTGGTAAAGAAAAGTACTAACTATTCTTTAGCAAAAGTTAACTACTGACTAAAATTTTTAAGAAATGGAGGGGATGGTCTCACACAGACTCATGAGGAAGCTGTATTAGGAGAGATTAGTTGATGGAGTGGGTGGAAACCACAAAATACAGAGAAAATAGGTGTGATATAAAAACAGTAGGTAGATAATCTTGAAAACTCTTGAATATAAATCAAAGTAGAGTGGCAGCTGAAAGAAGACACATAAATCAAGAATTTTTTTTCTTTTTAAGATGAAAGATAATTAAGAATTTTACAGTCTGAGAAAGGACAAAATTTTGAAGATGAGGAGATAAGAGGCTGAGACCAAATGATAGAACAATTAACATAATTATAAAATAATAATGACGTGAACATTTTTTTTCTTGACAATATTGAGTCTTTAAAATGAGATTTCAGTATATGTAGTCTTAAGTAATAGGAAGAAAGCAAAATAAATACTCCTACACTTGTTTATGGAAGCTCTGATAGCGTAGTGCCTAAAGCACCTGACTGCTAACCAAAAGGCTGGCAGTTCAAACCCACAGGCCACTCCTCGGAAGAAAGATAGGGCAGTCTACTTCCATAGTGATACAGCCTTGGAAACACAAGGAGGGGTCGCTATGAGTTGGGTCCGACTCGATGGCACATAACAACAATAACAACCCTTGTTTATATATCAAGTACCTTATCATGTTTTACGTAGTCCTTACCATCAGTTAAGGAGCTCTGGTAGCACAATGCCTAAGGCATCTGACTACTAATCAGAAGGTTGGTGGTTCAAACCCACCAGCTACTCCTTGACACCAAGACCGTGCAATCTCCTTCCATAAAGACTTACTGCCTCGGCCCATGTTTATCGCAGCAGTATTCACAATAGCCAAAAGATGGAAACAACCTAGGTGTTCATCAACTGAGGAATGGATAACCAAACTATGTACATACACACGATGGAATACTATGCAACCCTAAAGAATAACCTAGAATCTGCAAAACAATGCATAATGTGGATGAACCTGGAGGATATTATGCAGAGTGAAATAAGTCAATCACAGAAGGACAAATATTCTATTAGTCTGTTATTGTAAAAAGTCAAGGAAAGGTTTCTATATGGAAGGGAATTTTCTTTGTTGGTTACCAAGGGAGGGAGGGGAGTGAAGGGGAACACTGTTAGATGTTGCTGTTATTTGCCACTGAGTCGGACCCAACTCATAGCAACACCTCCAGGGGTTTCCAAGGCGGTATCACTACAGAAGTAGATTGCCCAACCTTCCTTCCAAGGAGTGGCTGGTGGGTTTGAACCGCCAGCCTTCTGGTTAGCAGTCAAGTGCCATAGGTACTACTCTTCACCCAAATCAATACTTAGCTACACTGTTAGATAGGTAGAGATAAGTATTGATTTGGGTAAAAAGAAGGGCAATGTACCAAATGTGAGTGATCAACATGGTGGCACTGAGGAAGAGGAAGACAGAGAGAGGTACGTGAGAGGTACATACAGTACTGCATTGTCACTTAAGGCAAACACGGGTATATGGGTGGATAGATGGGTGGAGAGGCTGAACTATTAGGTATGTCTATGCAGCAGGAAGTGTACCCAAGATCATGTATAGGGCCTGCAGACAATGGTTCTACAAG